AAAATTGTCAAGACCAAGTTTAGAACATGAAGATCAATTTTAACAGTTTGAACGGGAACTGTGTCATTTTCAATGACTTGTTTTTTTTGATATCATTAATTCAGTCATAATGTGTTAGCTAATACATGGCTAATTGTAGTTTGGTTTCCCTCTACATCTATATTCTACTTGGACGACCCAACAATAATATGACCCATCTAAGACTCGCCAACAACCCAAACTCTTGAGTGCCAACACTCAACTCATTGTTATCCGAAGAGAGGCAAAAACAGCCTAACGCCCTCTAGCTGTCCTACATGTTTCAGGGTGATTGACTAATTCTGTTCAAACATACCGGTAATACTAAAAATAGAATATGTGATACTTTTAGATCAGATGTTTATAGTTTGTCAAAATACCATAAGATGCATATGCACCTAAGTTTGTGTTCTGATCAGATTCAAGATGGTTCATCAGTTCTTTTTATCACAATGCTTTCTCAGATTTCATAGAAATCTTGGGCAGATTGATGACACACTGATTATGCACAAACATGAACAGAATCCACAGCAGATCAAGAAGCAGTGATGCAGATTTATTATTTTCAATGTACAAAACATACAGCACTGAATGAACTTTTCATAGCAGAAACAAACTAAAAAAGTGGTTAAAACCTTAGGTATAAAGAAAATAAACTGTGCTACCTCCATGATGTCACTTCCTGTTTCAAGCAACCTTCCAGGCAACTGTCCACTACAATGAAGACAACCAACTTTGGAGTGTCTTATCAAACGTTTTGATTTGGAATCACAGATACTTTCACAATCGAACAATATATATGATCTTTATGTGTGTACAATTAAGTGAAAGTCAACGCTGCAATGATGACATCAATGAAATACAAATGCCAAGCCATTACAACTTTACACGTATACACAAGTGGGAGTACAGCCATATTGGAGTGCTTCATTCATTTCTCATGACAAATGCCTCATTCATAATTTCTTTTCTTTATCACCTGCACATAAAAACATCAGTGCATGCACTGTTGATTCAGACTTTAGCTGAATGTTAACTTAATGTTGGTATTATAGAATACCAAGTCAGTGTGACAAGTGTTTTTGACAATTATTTATATTGACCTTGATATGTACCTGGAAATTTTCATTAATAGGAAGTGACATCATCTAAGAGCAACTCATGTCATATCCTGTTACGATATCACATGATTACTATGCTCCAATTATATCACACAGAATCTTGAAAGAAAAGGAAATGTACACAGGATTATCACAACTTTTTCTTCCAGAATCACAATTTTCCTAAAATCAAATTGTGACCTGAATCATGAATGCGCATTAAAATCACAATAATTTCTTCTTTATAAAAATAAATCATGATTGTAACATTATTTTTTTTGTATTTTCAATGAACCCCACATAACTGTAGGTTTCATAATTGTTGTTGCATCCACAAAAAATTGTATTAAATAACTTTTTACCCTGAATTAGGAGGATTTAAAAGAAAGTGTCATCCTCTATTGAGTTGATGATTTGTTTGACCTGCAGTGATCATAGGACCAAATCAGTTTCAAATAATGGTATATAAAGTAGGAATATCAATATTGCATACAAAAAGTTTCCCATAGATAACTAAAACCCAAATATGCTTAAGCTTATGAAACTGAAATAATGGAATGCAGAACAATTCAATTTTGGGAAAAATATGTGTAAAAATCACACAATATTAAATATCATGGCATCTTGCTACTAACATCAACATTGTACCAAAAGAATAAATGTTCTCTTCAGTTGATTGAACCACCATTGACTATCATGTTTTTTTTTTGCCCTTTTTTACCCATGTAATAACTGACCTCTGTGATACCAGATGACAACACATGGAAAATACAATGTATATGCTATGCCTCTATGTAATAACTGACTTCTGTGATACCAGATGACAACACATGGAAAATACAATGTATATTCTATGCGTACAAACCAAGACAGCTGATGAAAAAGATTTGATTCATAATTCATTTTTCAGCTAGTTGCATATTATATATATATATATAAAATTCTATGTGTTTATTCACATGGTATCACAAAAGGATTTGAGATGAAACAATACAAATAATTGAAAAATGCATATCACATCAATACAATGAATGCTCAACTGTTCAATGCTGTTGTGATACCACAGGTTTATTGGAGTAAGTTAGATTGTACAAATTCAGACTTTTTGCTTTCTCCTGTGATGGTATAACTGCTAATATAAAGCCATCATGAAAATTTTTTTTGCAACATTGCTTTATGTTTGCATTCCACTGAAGTATATAGTATGACAATTTTGATATTTTAAAGCCAAATTAGGACAAATAAAAGCAAATAAAAATAGTACATTATTACAAGAAGGAAATAAAAAGGTTCAGAATCGAGACAGATTTAAATTATATTAAACATCATCATCTTGGCATTCATTCATATTAAAAATATAAATTAGTTGGTTTGTCATTCTTACCATTTAATGGTTGAATTTCTATATGCAGATTGGTCAGCCCCAATGCCAAAGATACAATAATTAACATATATTTACATAATTGATGATATTTGCATATATACTAGCAGGGCGAGGCGGGGACTCAATATGAATGAGTAGCAATAATATAAATAAACAGACTGTACATAATAATGAATTGAACTGATTTTTCATTTTGAAAGATGTTAGATAAAAAGACAAGGGCTGTAACTTGCAGTTTTCACCAGAATATACACTAATCAACTAGATCCAGAGAGGGACTAAACTTGTAATAAATCTTGTTTGCAGGAAGTGACAATATAATTTTAGCTGGCAAGATTTAAAAACAAATATAAATCATAGACTTCTTTAGTAACTTTTTCAAGTCAGCAAGTTAATGTAATTTGTTTACATTTTTGTAACTATAAAACTGTCAACAAATCTGCTCCCAATATCTGCTGTGAGAACATGTGTTCCTGAAATGTGTTCCTGTTAAAGTGCAAGCTAGCTTCAGTGCTTGCATACTTCAGGATTTGTTGCCATACCAACTGATTTTATAATTACCCATGGTCATCACAATAATCAATTTGAGGTATTCTAGCATATAATGTATAGTAGGAATGCAAATCTCAGTAAAATGTTCATTTCTACAAATACATGTATACTTGAGCACCCTGTGTGTTTAATGCCAGTCTTGGTAGACGATGGAACACATGTAAGACCAGAAAAGAGACTGAGGTTACATTTATGTCAAGTCTTCTTCACCTTGACTTTATGAGCAACAAATGGTAACCAATTGCAAGAGTTGAGGAAGTAATTTTGTAGCAGTGAACATTTCACTGGAATCCTTAAGAGAGAAAGTCACAGTGACTTACTGAAACTTTTGTATTCACAATGCTCTCCATTAATGACAATTGACTGTGAGTACTGTATTTGCTCTATTAGAAGCGCATGTACGTACGTGAATTTTATGGAGTTGTATTTTAGAATCATTTGAATCCAGAATCAACATCAATAACACTCTTCACACAATGTTGCTTCAGTGAAAAAAAGGAGCTAAAGCAATGTCACCTAAAGCAACATTAGAGACTGTTACACTTATTATCATGCTTTTGTCAACTGGCGGATGATTCTGTGAAAACGAAATACTAGTAGATGTGACAGTCAGCAGAACTTTAATAGTGTTAAAAATTTAAACATTAAAGGAAGGAAAATAAATTATAATTAAAAACATTTTTTTAATATCGCTTAATCTTCTCTGTCATGAAGGCATCTCGGGGTAATCACAAAACATAAATACTAAACTGGGAAAGCTAAACTTTTCTTGCCCTTTCCTGCATATATTGTGGTACTATATTTTCTTATAATGGTCCAGATGCTTTGTTCTATATGTCAAATAAAATATGGATGGTAGAATTATTCTTCAAGCATCGATATGTCTACCAACTCCCATTGCTGTGAGAGGCGTTTGTCACATACGCGCAGTGTGGGTGTATCTTTACCAGTATCTGCTTTGTCCAGACACAAGCCGCTTGTTGCATGCGTTATCACGTTCAACTGAAAATAAACAATAACATGTCACTTTGCTGTGTTAGTACATTGCCACCTATAATAGGATATGGATATAATAGGTGAACTTTTGTTTATACAAATTATGTTTGCTTAATATGCAATAATACCTCTCTATTAAAGCTCCATTCTTGATTTCCACCTTGATTGTGACATCTTAACTGCATAATGTCATTAAAACCACTCTGCCGCGAAGCATCCAGACATAAGTCATCGTGTTTCAACTCCTTCTTCTTAGTCCAGGCGAAAATCTGAATAATGAAACCAATGCAGAGTTGTCACGAGATGAAAACAGCGCCCTCTTGTGGTAATTCTGTTTGACTGATAAAGTGTAAATAACCTAATAGTGTTTTGGGTGTTCGGTTGAGAAAAGTAAATTCTGCTAGGTGTGCTGTTGACCCAGAGGTGTTCCCTTTTACAGACCCAAAGGTATTCTTCATGGCCAAGAGATGTGGTCCATAGGGTCAACAGACATGTTCTATGGGCACATATGTGTAACTAAAAAGAGCCAAAATGTGGCCCAGTGACTCATTCACGTGGCAAAATGTTACGACTATTGCATGATAGGCAAATTCAAAAACATTTTCACCTCTGAAATATAGTTTACGCAATACAATTGGAAGCAACCTTATGGCTCAAATGGCCCCAGTCTTTGATAGTAGATTGTCTCAATTTGCAGAGTTGTTATCACAGTGTTCTTGCCATATCAAAACCATGACAGTTAACAGGGTGTTGCCATGGTGACTACAATTATTATTACTGGGTTACAAATCTGATGGAGGTCCACCCAAGGTGCCTACATATAAAATATCAAAGTAATTGGATGAGCATTTTTCTCCAAAAATGACAAAATATTTACTAAAAATTAACAAAATGAAATCTGGGAGAAAACCACCCAAAGTACATTTGCAGTGAGTATGACACCTGTGCAGCTGATGGATTTTAAAAAGAAGATGAAAATGTAATGGACAACAGATGATGATGGATAACTCAGTAATATGTATAGCCTCATATAGTCGACAGTGGAGCTAAAAATAACACTTTGTGGGTGTGACAAATTTATAAAAGTCAACCAATTGTGTGTATCAGAGTATATTTAAATACCATTTCCAGTTCAATGATTCAATGATTGACCAGCTGAACAAGTGAAAGAACAGACACTGCATTTGCTACACCCCCTCTCCTAAGGCCACTGCATTTGCTACACCCCCACTCCCGAGGAACACTGCATTTGCTAGATCCCCACTCCTGAGGAACACTGCATTTGCTACACCCCCACTCCCGAGGAACACTGTATTTGCTACACCCCTACTCCTGAGGAACACTGCATTTGCTAGATCCCCACTCCTGAGGAACACTGCATTTGCTACACCCCCACTCCTGAGGAACACTGCATTTGCTAGATCCCCACTCCTGAGGAACACTGCATTTGCTACACCCCCACTCCCAAGGAACACTGCATTTGCTACACCCCTACTCCTGAGGAACACTGCATTTGCTACACCCCCACTCCTGAGGAACACTGCATTTGCTACACCCCCACTCCTGAGGAACACTGCATTTGCTACACCCCCACTCCTGAGGAACACTGCATTTGCTAGATCCCCACTCCTGAGGAACACTGCATTTGCTACACCCCCACTCCCGAGGAACACTGCATTTGCTACACCCCTACTCCTGAGGAACACTGCATTTGCTAGATCCCCACTCTTGAGGAACACTGCATTTGCTACATCCCCACTCCTGAGGGACACTGCATTTGCTACACCCCCACTCTGAGGGACACTGTATTTGCTAGATCCCCACTCTGAGGGACACTGCATTTGCTACATCCCCACTCTGAAGGACACTGCATTTGCTACATCCCCACTCTGAGGAACACTGCATTGCTACATCCCCACTCCTGAGGGACACTGCATTTGCTACATCCCCACTCTGAGGGACACTGTATTTGCTACATCCCCACTCCTGAGGGACACTGCATTTGCTACACCCCCACTCCTGAGGGACACTGTATTTGCTAGATCCCCTCTCCTAGGGCCACTGCATTTGCTACATCCCCACTCCTGAGGAACACTGCATTTGCTACACCCCCACTCCTAAGGGACACTGTATTTGCTACATCCCCACTCCTGAAGGACACTGTATTTGCTACACCCCCACTCCTGAGGGACACTGAATTTGCTACATCCCCACTCCTGAGGGACACTGCATTTGCTAGATCCCTACTCCTGAGGGACACTGCATTTGCTAGATCCCTACTCCTGAGGGACACTGAATTTGCTACACCCCCACTTCTGAGGGACACTGCATTTGCTACACCCCCACTCCTGAGGGACACTGCATTTGCTACACCCCAACTCCTGAGGGACACTGAATTTGCTACATCCCCACTCCTGAGGGACACCGCATTTGCTACATCCCCACTCCTGAGGGACACTGCATTTGCTAGATCCCTACTCCTGAGGGACACTGCATTTGCTAGATCCCTACTCCTGAGAGACACTGCATTTGCTACTCCACCACTCTTGAAGAACACAGCATTTGCTACACCCCCACTCCTGAAGGTCATTGCATTTGCTACACCCCCACTTCTGAGGGACACTGCATTTGGTAATAAGTGACAGAACAACACAGCCACACACCCTGTGCCATGAGGGGATACCATATCACATAAACAAAACATTACAATTATTGTATGCTGGATCATTACAATACAACTTCAGACACATGTCTCAGACCTTTGTCATTTTCGTAAAACCATGCAAGAGTAATAAAACAAATACACTAACAGGATTAATGACTGTTTACCAAAAGTTAATATCATGTGTTGTTTTGGATCTCCTTTCACAAAATAAGATACATACAATTTAATGTTTTGGTTTTATATTGCTTCCATAAAAACAGATTTCCTTTTTATAATGATGAAGACTACATTTTAACACCGTCTAATCATAGATTTACTAGTTTGGGTAAGACCATCATCAAAGAAATTCTGTTGGAAAGAATGTGCTATTACAATTCCAAAATGTGAAGTCATCATTTTTTGAAATGGGAAACCTAAAAACAAAATAAAATATACACTCTGAATAGCGTAATAATTCTTTTAAATCACTTTAGGTGTATATTTTTAATAATTTTATTTGTAATTAAAAAAAATTACATAATTTCTATTAGCTACAGATTATGATCAAAATGTTTGCAAAATTGAGAAAGAAGTTGACTATGGTGATCAAAAGTAAAAAAAGATTAAAATGGTAACTAAGAAAGATAACATTCTTTTGATAGTGGTATAACAATTCTAATTCCAGTTCATTTAGTTGACTGAGTTGATTCAAAATGAATTGCAAGAATGCTCCATCTAAAAAACAACTACTTCTGCAATGAATAATCATTACATTCATCGGTTATTCCATCATAGTTTACATAATCCTAATGCAAAACATTAGTTTGATTGAAAACATGGTACTATTGTGTCACATTTCCTCTACAACATGTGCATGCACTTTAAATAATACATAAATATTGGCATTTGCTCTCACAGAAGGCAATTACTGTTTAATATATAAGCCAATAAAACAAACCATTTGAACTCACACATGCTGATAAATGAAGGGTGCTCTCAAGTAGAAACTAGCGTACTGTTTATAGCATATGATACAATACTCAAGAAAGCAAAACAAACCATAGTTGAACTCTGGTGACCTTGCCTTTTGTTATATAATATTATTCCCTTTAATATCATATTTTGTTTCAATATGAATATGCATTGTCAGAATTAGGATTGAAACAACAGTTGGAAAGCAGTCTACCGAATGTCCTTGATTGATGTAAATATCTTACAAAAACATTGGTGCCTAATTTGTTTAATTATTTTAAGAGACATATTTTTCAGCTTTATTCAAAGTAATTCAAATATTTTAGTATAAAAACAAATGCCTCATCTCAGAAAAAAAGTGCTGCATTTAGACATGAATAGATTCATAAAACATGCAAGATAACGCAAAATCTTAGCTGGCATTTTTCCAAGTATTTTGTACAGGTGTGTCAAAAATTAATGATTCACTGAGACAAATATGAACTGCCTTATTATATTTCACTGTGTGTACTGTATTATCTGAAAATTAAAAAAAAGCCCTCTATTAATCAACTCAAATAGTTAGTTGGTGTCCTGTGAAGTCTGTACTGTTGCCTCCTGAGAATCTACATCTTCAAACACTTTGTTTATTTGCAATCTTTGTTTTTAAAGTGCGTTTTTAAGTTAGTATTTTAAAAGCTTTATCATTCTGTACTAATAGCTAAAAACAAATTCCTGTGAATTTTTATTTTTATTTGTCGAATGAACTGTTTGTCAAATACAGAATACATATTTTTGAGTACAGTGTGTACAATTTTCTTTTCAAAATGTAGATGCAACATTTTGCTTTTTATGTATTGTTTTTGTTTCTAATGGATTCAGATCATGATCAAAAGTTTGGAATCCAATTCATAGGAATGCTTATATTGATTTTCTGACATCTTGTTTTCTGTAAAGATTTTATTGGTAGGTTTGCAAATGTGTATCAGACTGTGCAACAACTCTCTCCATGAGTTGTTTTTGAAACCCAGTCTAGTATTCCCATGGGATTGGGGAGATACATTACCAACCATATTTGATAAATGATTTGCTTCATTGAACACATACAACAATGCATAATCCCACTGAGATCAGTGACCTTTGAATGTGTATCACCAGTGATTAGTTAAAGGGGAACTAAATAGAGCCTATTTTGGTGTTTGTATTTATCAAGTTATGTATATTGATTATAAATTTGAAAAAAATAATAAAAAAAAATGATTATCTTCAGAGTTATGATGATTTAAATATGAGAAACCATAAACCTGCGAAGGACTTCCGTTTGCGCCATCTTGCCATAAAAAACGCCCTCATGAGGTATAAACAGGTAAGGTAACAAAGCATGATGACGAAATAGTATCTGATTAAATATAAGCAACTTAGGGAGCCATAGCTGGCTGGACTGGTGAATTGACTTCTAGTCTAGGTTGTTCGACTTTT